TTGGATGTCTTGCATCTAGTTCCAAATGACATCAGCAGGGAGCCCGATGATGTCAGCGGGGTGCCCGATGATGTCAGCGGGGTTCCAGATGGCATAAGCAGGGTACTTGATGGCCTGGGTGAAAGTGATGATCCTTTTAAGATGTGTATGCCTGGTGCCCATGGGTGAAATGACTTGGTAGCATGACCGCAAGTGCTAGGATTTGCTTTCAGGAAATTAGCAGCATATATTACACCATATATTTAATTATTTATACAGAAATTCCTGGATATACTAGCTCCGGGGGACTTCCTACAAATTCCCCCCAAAATCATGATCACTTCAACAGCAGCAATTTTACATTGCAATTAAACTTTTCAGGGTGTATCCTTCAATTTGGGCGGGAGGGAGGGGGGGGGGGGGGGGGAGGGTTATACGGTACTAGGAGCCATGAGAACCACCTCTTTGTGCCAGTCGCGAGAGACAGCAGGGGAAACGGTCCTAATGAAGAAATTTCCTCTACCAAGGAATTTCCTGCCCATCCCAGGCAAAAAACTTGCCATTATCAGCTGCAGTGACCCTGTCTATAATCCCCAGAAGATTTTGGGCGACAAACTTGCGCGTGAAGAGCTTTCCGGGCGGCACGCCCCTCTGGAATGGTTTGGACATATCTGTGTCGACTGTTCCTGGGTGGAGGAGGATGGCAGCCAGTGGCTGCTTCTTTGCTGCCAGCTTGATGGACATAGTGCGGACCACTGGGGAGGAGGGAGGGGGGGGGGGGGGGGGGGGGGAGAACAGGGGAGAGAGAAAGGGTTAAGGGTGTTGGGCTGAAGTGCCCTAGGATCTTTGTAGAGTTAAAGTCTGAGTAGGATTGTAATAGCGGAAGCGTTGAATGAAAGGTCCTTGAACCACCTTGCGCTGGTATGTGAGGGCAAAGTAAGTTGATTAAAACAAGCAAATACAAAGCCTTATATATGAGTACAAGGAATACGAATAGATATAATTAAACTGTTCTTGCTGTTGGGACAGTGCGACTCGGGCAACTGCTCAATGTCGAGTCAGTTGTGCGTCCTTGCTGTCGCGCTGTATTTGTCAAGTCAAAGGTCAGCGACCTTTGACCTTCGCGTAACCTCCAGCGGTTACCCTAACCTCCGAGGGTTGACTCGTTGCGCTTCGATTTGAGCTGCTTCGCTTGTGTACGGAGTTTCGACACGACAGAGGTGCTTAAGACTTGTTATTCCCAACACTCCCCTTCGCTTCTGGAGTGTCGCTGATGGTGACGTGGCCTTGTCCAGTCAGCAGCATGCAGTACTCGAACTTCTGTTTTCCGAGCTTCTTGGTCAAGTAGTCGGCTGCCATCTCGGACGTGGGACAGTAAGATAATTCGAGTTTCCCTTTCTCGATCTCGTCTTTCACGAAGAAGTATCGCAGAGCGATATGCTTCGTTCTGTTCGCGAATCTGCTTTTGTTGGCGATGCGAATTGCAGATTGGTTGTCGCAGAACAGAGTGAAGTTGGGTAACTCAGCTAACTTTGCTTCTTCCAGCAGCTCACGAAGGTAGATTCCTTCCTTGGTGGCTGAGCAGAGGGCGATATATTCTGCTTCAGCTGAAGATAGAGCGATTAGTTCCTGCTTGTTCGACTGCCAGGAGATAGGTCCGATAGGCTCGAGACGATAGATGTAGCCAGCGCGGGAGCACCTGTTATCTGGATCGCCGGCATGATCGGCATCGACGTAGCCGATTAGTTTCGTTGATGTAGCTTTGCTCTTGTAGTAAGTCAGACCGATCGTCGGTGTGCTCACGAAGTAGTGCAGTGTGCGATCGAGCTAAGCCAGGTGCTCTGCTTCGGGTTTCTTGAGGTAGGTAGCGAGTTGGCTTGCGGAGTAGGATAGATCCGGGCGGCAGGTGACGGCTGCGAAGAGGAGGCAGCCCAGTTTCCTCTGGTAGTCACGTATTCCGGCAGCTTTGAGTGGTGCGGAATTTCCTTTGTCATTTCCTGCCGTGTAGCGGTATGGCGTGGCGATAGCGGTAGGTGTGAGCGCGAAACGCTTGGCGATAGTGTCGGCGTATTTCTCGGCGCTTAGGTAAATCGCATTCTCTTCTTCGCGGATGTTGAGCCCGAGGTACTGGGTGACGGTAGAAGAAACCATGAGCGTGAGGTCCTTCTGCAGCTCCCCTTCGAACCAGGAGGTGATGTCGTCGGTGGAGCCGATGTAGAGTAGGTCGTCGACGTAGACGATCAGCAGGATCTAGTCTGCGTTTTTGGTGAGTCGGTACATCCCTTGGTCGTGAGGTAGTTGGCGGAATCCGATGCGGGTGAGGCGGGTGTGTAGGTGCTGTTGCCACAGCCGCGGGGCTTTTTTGATTCCGTAGAGCGATTTCAGTAGCTGGCAGACCTGATTGGGGTTTCCGTGGGTACCGTGTAGGAGTTCGACGGAGATTTCGGCGTCGACGGGGGCGTAGAGAAACGCGTTGGCGACATCAATTTGCCGTAGTTTCTTCTTCTTCATGGCGACGACGGCGAGAAGAATTCGAAGAGAGGTATGTCGACTAACTGGGGCGAAATTCTCGGTGAAGTCTCGTCCTTGCTCCTGGTCAAATCCACGCACGACCCAGCGTGCTTTGAACTTCTCGATTGTGCCGTCTGCTTTCGTTTTGATGCGGAAGACCCATTTCCCGGTGAGAATGGTCTTGTTCCTTGCCACGCTTGCGGGAACGACCTTCCAGGTGTTGCGTTCCTCCAATGCCTTTAATTCTCTGCCCATGGCTTCACGCCATTTCTCTCTGTGTTCCCCCCCCAGAGCCTGCTGAACTGTCGCAGTCTCTTTAGGAAGTGCGTTGCCGTGGACTGCGGTGACGAGGCCAAGGATTTGCAGTCCAGTCTGTGAGTATCGGGGGAGTGTTGGATCCTCGGCATAAGCTGCTTCGTCTCCCGCTTCTGGGTCGGGTATGAAATTCGGCCCTATCCTTTCTGCTTCGTTTGTGTTGACTGTCGCAGGTGTTACGTAACCGTTGTCGGCGAAGTGATAGAAGACTTCGGCGTTGACACTGTCGCGAGGATTGTGTTCGTCCGTGGGCACGTTGACGGAGCAGTACGGGAGAGGTCCGGCTTCTTCCGATGCGTTGTCGACGTTCTGTTCATCCCAGTCTGCTTCGTCCGCTGCTGAGGCGAAGGCTCGGTCACCACGAAAGCCACCTGTGGGATCCTGATTCTCGTGCAAGTTGGCGAGGTACCTCTGAAGGGTGAGTCGCTCGTAGAAGATCACATCACGTGCTGCTACTGTTTCCTTTGTGTGGACGTCGAAGATTTTCCACGCGTTGTAATTCTTTTCGATGCCGAGGTGTAGTCTCCACTGTGCCCGTTGTGAAAATCTTCCCGCTCGTGCTTCTGGGGGTCGGTACTGTACCATGCATCCGAAAACTTGTAACATTCTTGTGCTGCCCAGCTTTCCTGTCCACAACAGATGCGGTGATGCGTTGTTCGGGAGTGAAGACGACGACAGCAAGTTGTGCAGCATGACAGCATGGTCCATTGCTGCAGGCCACTGGTGGTTGGGTAGCCGCATGCCACGTAGCAGTTTGCGCATGCTGTTCTGTAGAGTCCTGTTCATTCTTTCTGCAACACCTTGCTGCTGATGGGCGTAGGGAAGGGAGAGGAGTTGCTTGATTCCCCTTTCCGCCAGGTACTGCTTGAAGCGCTGAGAGGTGTATTCTCCTCCGTCTGACTGGAAGCTTTTCAGCTGTGTTCCTGATTCTCTCTCTGCTACCGGTAGCCAAGCGGCGAACGCTGCGAGTGCCATGTCGCGGCTGGGTAGGTTTCGATGCCAGACGTATCGAGTGGCGGCGTCGATGAAGGTTATCGTGTAATTGTAGGTAACTTGTCCTGGTTCTCGATTGAAGAGGATGTCGCTGTACACTTTCTCGAGTGGTGCGTATGCAGGTGCGCTCGGGTTGTGGTGAGAAGAAAACGGTCGATGGGGTAAGTCGGCTTCGGGGCAGATGAGGCAAGTTCCTTGTGTTCGTTGAGGTTCTCTGCCATCGGGTAGTAGTAGCGAATCTTTGTCGAGGACTCCTGCTCGTATTGTGTTATTTAATACTGTGTTGCTTGGATGTCCTGTGCGTGCGTGCCAGATGTCTTCAGGAGCGCGATGTCCGGGTGAGCGTTGATACGCGTCGGAGTTGGAGTAGAAGCTGGCGACGACATTGGCGCTTCTGTGGACTTCTCGTTGAGACGGGTTCAGCTGCTGTGCGGGTGTTGGTGGTGCTTCGTCGACGATGACTGGTATCGTTGGTCCTGCTGCTGCCGATGATGTTTCTGTCGCTGC